CAGAAAAGCATGCTATGAGAGTCAGGACTAGAACCAGCAAGAATTTGAGACTGCATTCAGACTCTCAAGCCCATTCACATTTATTCTGCATTTAATGCATAGTATCCATTTAGCAAGCATGTTCTGTCAAGCTCTGTTCTCATCCTCTCACTTCCCTCCCTCTCCCTTTCTCCCTTCCTCTCCTCCTCTCCCTCTCTGTCCCTCTCTGTCCCTTTCTCACTCCCTCCCTCTCTCCATCTCTTATTTTATCCCTTTTCCATTTTCCTTTTGATAGGCTTTCTCAAACAGCACAAATTGGCCTGGTTTGTGGGTTTTCCATGTCTCAGTCCTGTGAAGGCTGGGGAGGAGGCTGTTTTAGGTTGTCTGATTGCATTCTTTACATCTGTTTTCGTTCTACCTTTAGCCAGAAGTGCCTCATCACCCTTTCCCTCGTTCTTCATTTCCCGCTTCTATTTACTTTTCCTCCTCTACCTCTTCTCTGTCATCCCAATATACTAATCACTAGTCTTATTCTGCTTTTTTCCTTCCACTCATTCCCAGAGTAATCATACATTAGTACACACAGTGCCTTCAGTGTTTCTTTGCTTCCTAAAATGATTGGCATTTAAGAAGTGATTGTTTTTTATTTGACTATTACTATATTTTCGTAGTGATTGTGCTTTTAAGAGTTTCTACTCTGAGAGGAGTAATGGAAATTAAGGCTGGTGCCCTCAGCACCAGTCTAGCTAGCACAGGAAAACAACGCTTCAACCCTATTACAACCTAGTCCCTCCTGGACACTGCAGACACTTACACTGAAAGAGTAAGGGTCATTAAAAAAAGAAATCCAACCAATAACCAAACAAACCAGATTGGCAAGTCTTAATACCAGAGCACAAAAAACATGAAAAACCAAAGCAACATGACTCCTCCATGAATTACTAATCCCATAGTAATGGTCTCCAGTGAGTGAGTTAGGTGAAATTCAAGAATTCAAAAGAATGATTATAAATATGTTCAAAGAAATCAGGGCTGGGGAGTTTGTTCCATGGGTAAAGTGTTTACCGCATAGGCATAAGGACTTGAGTTCAGATCCCCAGAACCCACATGATAGCTGGTCGCAGTAGCACACATCTGTTTACCAGTGCTCCTACAGGGAGATGAGAGGCTGAGACCCGAAAATCTCTGGAAGTTTGCAGGTCAGTTAGTTTGGCATATGTAACAGTGAATAACAAAGAGACATTGTTTCAAACAAGGTAGAAGGTAAGAACCAACACAAGTTGTTCTCTGACTTCTAGATACACATTGCCTGTTCACCCCAGCACACACACACACACACAAAGATTAAAGATATCAGAGGACAGCCAGGCGTGGTGGCGCACACCTTTAATCCCAGCACTCGGGAGGCAGAGGCAGGTGGATCTCTGTGAGTTCAAGGCCAGCCTGGTCTACATAGCAAGTTCCAGGTCAGCTGGGGCTACAGGGAGACCCTGTCTCAAAAAGACCAAAAAAAAAAAAAAAAAAAAAAAAAAAAAAAAAAAAAAAAAAAAATCAGAGGACACAAACTCCTGAACCTTTCCAAGATAACACAAACAGATGAATGAAATCAGCAAGTCAATAAGGATATTCTTGTGTAATTCAGTAAAGAGAAATATTGAAAGAAAGACTGAAATACTGGGAATGAAAAATTCAATTAAGTCAAACAAAAAGTTGTGTGGAAAATCTAACCAACAGAATGAATCAAGATGAGAATATCAGGGTTTGAGGACAAGGTAGAAAACTTGGAACATTCAGACAATAGCAAAGATAAACTAATAAAATATGAACAAAACATTTAAGGTCTGTGAGACACTCTGAAAAGACCAAATCTTTAAATCATAGGTATTAAAGAAGGAAAAGAATTTCCTGATAAAGTATAGAAGACATTTTCAATAAAATCATAGGAGAAAACTTTCCAAGTCTAGGGAAAGAATTGTCCATCCAGGTATTCAAGGCATTTAGAACACCAAACAAACAAGATCAAAAGAGAACCTCCCACATCATGTTGTAGTTAAAACACTATAGTTAAAACAAAGAAAGTTTGTTGAAAATGGCAAGAAAGGAACACCAAGTCACATAGAAAGGCCCATCAGAGTAACAGCAGATTTCTCACAGAAACTTTAAAAGCCAGGAGTGCATGGACCTGCCAACTCAGACTGCCATACCCCTTGAAACATCTTTCAACTGAAGGAAGAATAAATCTTTCTGCAAAACAACTAAAAGAATCCATGATCACTAAGCCAGCTCTCAGAAGGTACTTGAAGGAATCCTACAGATTGAAGAGAAAAATTAAAACACATCCATGATGCTGCTGTTTGCTGTCAGGTGGCCAACAAGAGTACAAGATTTTCAACTATTAAGATACAGTAATCTCTTATCTATAATTTTGAAATCAAAGAGCCCTGTTTCTCTTTTAAAACATTTTTATTACGTTTGTTATTTTGTGTATGAACACATACATGTGTTTGCCACAGGGCATGTGGTAAGATCAGAGGACAATTTGCAGGAGTCATTTTTCTCCTACCATGTAAGTCCTAGGGATTGAACTCAAGTCATTAGACTTTGTGGCAGGTATCTTTCAGTGATCTTACAAGCATGTGAATGTTTATTTCATAAGCTTGGTGCCTAACCTGAAACGACATGAAACCCTTTTTTCATCATTTATTCTACTTAAGGGTGAATAGTCAGTCATTTTGTAGAAGTATTAGGGTACTGGATACAGGATCCTCTTGGAAGTGTTAAACACAGTATGTTGGTGTACCTATTGAGACTTTTCAAAATAGAATAAAAAAAATTATTAATTCCACACATATCTGGCATAAGATTATGAATCTGAGTATCCTCTTTTACTCATGAATTTTGAAAATGAGGAGTGCATCAGCTGTTCAAAATTAAATTTAAAAAACCAGTCTTTTAAAAATGAAAGAACTAGGGACTGGAGAGATGGCTCAGCAGTTAAGAGCACTGGTTGTTCTTGCAGAAGACCCGGGTTTGAATCCCAATACTCACATGGCAGCTAACAACTGTCCATAACTTAGGTTCCAGGGGAATCTGACACCATCTCTGTCCTCTCTGGGCACTGCATGACACAGGTGTACTTACATGCATGCAGGCATAACACATACATATAAAAATAAATCAAAACAATAAAAAACTAATTTAGCACACATCTGACACACAGCAGGCTCTTGGTAAATAGCAGTGGTTGTTTGTCTATTCTTTGAACAAAGCCTTTCCTGTCAGTAAGTCTGTTCCTGTCCAGAAGTATGGTTCACCATCATTGTGCCCTGTGAGTATTCTCCTTAGACTTAACATCTTAAAAGTTGGGGATGCTGCTGACAACACAGTGGACAGTGACAGGGATGGCAGAGTATGGAGCCTCTAGTGGGAGAGGAAGGCTGTCTATCTGACGAGTTTGTATTCATGCTCAGATGCCGAGGAGCTCAGAAGGTGGGCGACTGTGATCAGTGATAGTCATGTATATAGAGATTAGAAATTCATGTGAAAACGTCTCAATGTCAATTGCTTTGGAATGAATTCTTCTGTATGAAAAAAAAAAAGTTGTGCTGTAAAGTATTCCTTGAGAAATGTTTATAATTCTATGAGAATGTAAATAGTTTCACAGTAATTGTTTTTCAGTTAGAATATTCTAACTTAATTGCAGCGCAGTCTCTTTAATTTCTTGTTCATTAATTTTTAACTAACTTCATAAAAGAATAAGAATTAAAAAAATGTGATTTATTTTAGAAAAAGTTACCTGGACTGCTGAAAAGAAGGTATATTCCACAGCTGTTGGATGAAATATGCTATAAACATTTATTAAATCTACTTATTCTATGTTGTAAAAAAAAAAAGTTGGGGATGCAGAGACTTTGTGACAGGCCCCTGCCAGCTTGCTAGAAAATTCACACCCACAGTTCAGAGTATTTCTCCTGACTTAGCAGTCCTGAGGTCTTCTCATCTCTCCAGGCTACCTCAGCTATTAGAGGATTGTCAGCTGGGCCCAGTAGAGTTCAGGGCTATATACAAAGTGATTTTTTTCCTTTAAATCCCTAGAGCTTCATTCAGTACATTAGGACTGAGTCTTGGCCAAGGGAGCAGGGAAGAAGCCATGACCCTGTGGGTTCCCAGGGGGTGCAAAACGAGTTCTCCAAAGTACATTTGCCTTGTAGGGAGATTTGTGAACATACAGGATACACTGTGACAGTTTTGAGTACCTAAGTTGTTGAGGGTTGCAGCTGCCCACTTTCATTATCCTGTTTCTTTTCTCCTCCCCACACTGGCCCAGAGAGGAAAATGGAGATGCTGGCTATTGAGAGAGCAGTAGGGCTCTTTTACTATGCTCATTTATTCTCCAGAGCTCAGGCATTCTCAGTGAAGGAAAAGCTTACTTCTTGGAGGGAAAGGAGAAAATTTTGGAGATTGCAGAGGTTGTGGCCTGTCTCCATCTAGCAGGCTATAGCCCACTGATTCATGGTAGACTGGTTCTAAAGCTGTGCAAGGGCCATGATGGATGAAAGGTCAGGAAGCTCCACACCGTAGCATGGTGCTGCATACCTTTGTCTCACTCCACTCGAGAAGCTTTTAAATCTTGGCTATGGAGTTTTGGTTTTAGAGCAATATTTTTCTATGCATCAAAGTTCTTGGTTCTTTATGTAAAGTTTAAGAATGTAAACACAGTGTAAATAAAATAAAACTTACTAGAGGTTATCATTAATATGTTTATCTTTATACAGAGTTGAGTCCTTCTTGGTTTTAACTTTTGTTCAGCCCCTTTTTGCATAATTTCCCATTTAATATGCTCGGGGGTAATCTGTGCCAGAGATCACTTGGAAATATGCCTGTGTGTGCTCTCATGCAAGTGTCTTCCCTGCCTGCCCTGCCTGAAGTGCATGTTCCCCCACTGGCATCAGTTTCGGTTCCTGAGAGTCTAGATGCCTAACTGCTCTGGGAATTGTGGTAATTACCCTTGTTTGTTTCAGGCATGATCCCCTGGGCCCGTTTGCTGTCGGGGGAGAAGACCTAGACCCCTTTGGGTGAGTACTGCTGAGGAGGAGTACAGAGCTTGTTCTATGGCTTTCAGCTTCAGCTCGTCTAATTTTAGAGCTTTTCGTCAGTCTCTCCCTTTTGTGTGAAGGAGGCCATTGCTGAGTGACTGAGATGTCACTGCCACTTTACCTAGCACAGGAGAGTTGTTTCTCCTTCCCTCTGGGCAAGGAGGACATCAGACCTCCCCTGGATGAAAGGATTCATGAGGATTTTTCAGGTGCAAGATGAAGACCACACGGTGGAGCACAGCCATAGAGCCCCTCAGGGGTCACCTCACTAGATCAGGGAGTCTCTGAGTCCCATTAGATCCTCTGTGATTCTCATCCTGCATCCAGCAAAGTCACCACAGCTTCAGCTATGCACTCTGTTTCAGAGTGAGTCAGATGAAGTTTGACTCCTGCTGGAGTGACTGCCACTTTTATCATTGCATTTTTAGACAGTAGGAATCACTTAACTCTGCAGAGCTACTCAAACAGTAACCTCGGAATTCAAGGAGCATTAGCCCATTCATCCCGGTTTGAGTGCATGAAGTCAGGTCCGTGGAGCTCAGTAAGGGACAGAGACTGTCAGGAACCAGACTTGGACTACCCACAGGCAGTCAGCATCTGCACAGAGGCCCTTGAGGGAACAGTAAAAACATATCCTGAGTGGTCTCTGTGGTGTTATTCCTTAGACCTAAAGTAATGTCCTGCAGAGCCTATGATAATTCTGTATTCATCAAGGCCAATTCTAGCTCTACGTCTTGACCAGTTGACTACCTTAGGTGTAGGACATATTAGGGACCTCAGTACTGTGGGCTCAGGGATCCCACAGAACTTTCTGTGCTGCTGTACAGGCCCCTTGACATTGACAGTGTGCTCTTTGTAGGCTCTGTGTTCTTGCTTACTTCCTGCTTGGTTTCATGTGTCTGCCTGGACATCAGAGTAGCCGTCCTGGTCAATTTTAGTCCATTCTCCCCTGTCTCACCTCTTCTTCAAGGGCAATGAATCCCTGTCACAGCTGCTTACTCAGCTTCTTCCGTGTCTCAGGTGTCAGAGAGGTGGCATGATTGTGGATCCCCTAAGATCTGGCTTTCCAAGAGCACTTATTGACCCATCCTCGGGCCTCCCAAACCGGCTTCCTCCCGGTGCTGTGCCCCCAGGAGCTCGCTTTGACCCCTTTGGACCCATTGGGACCAGCCCATCTGGGTAGGTATTCACTCAGGTACGCTGAGAGGTGGGACCAGATGGCAGATCAGCTCAGCGTAGCCCAGTATTATAGCCCAGGTGTCTGACTCTAGGCACAGTTGCTGCTGCCAAGGGAGTGGTGCCTCCTCCAGCTGTACCTGCTGCCTCCCTGGAGCGACCCTCCAGGGAAGACTTAGAGGAGGAGGAACTAACAGGAACTGAAAGTTGAGTGTGATGCTCTATCAACAGTCTTTAGTAGATAGTACAATCTACATTTTACAGATGAGAAAAGCAAGGCCAGGATAATTGGGCAATTTAGTCAAAGGATTACCAAGCCTTCTGACTCTAGAATTCATTTAGGGTACTCTGTGGGCCCCCTCCACATGGGTCATGTTTGCCTATGCACCTGGCCCACATCCCTCCAACTTAACTACCCATCTTTTCATTGCAGACCTAACCCAGACCATCTCCCCCCACCGGGCTATGACGACATGTACCTTTGAAGGCCTCAAGAATGTAACATCCCAGCCTCCCCTCCATTCTTCAGGAGCTGTCACTGCTGGCCCCATCAGCATCCGTGTTCTTGTGGGCTCAGGGCAGGGGGGACTCTGCCCATGTGTTTGCAGAGCCGAGGTACCTGCTGTAGCTCTCCACCCAGCTGCATATAAGTACCAAGGAGAAATCAGTGTGTGCCTATCACCACTAGCTCCTCCCCACTTCCAAGGGAGACTCCGGCAACATACACCCTCCACCCAATGCAGTCCCAGTCACAGCGCTAAAAGAACAGAACACATTTTGGATGTTATTATTAAGAACCAAATGTCAATACAGAATTCATGTTGCCAGTCTTCTACTTTCCTTTTTGTGTCAATGTACAGCTCCTTCCAGTGGGAAACTTGAGAGTTTGCATCTTCATAGGACTAACTGACTCTTTTCCTACCAGAACCCATTCTTCCTGAGTTGCACTTGCTCCTGACATCATTACAGTGAGCTTAGTCAGGCCATGTGGATGGAAGTATGTGACTAGAACCCCCATGAGCCATAGGTATGATTCTGACCAAGACAGGTACACTGAAAAACCCACCTCCTCCCTGATTTGAGGAAAAGATGAACAATAAATTCTCCACTTGGGCTTTCCAGTAACAAAGGTTAAAAAAGACAGTCAAGCTGGGCATGGTGGCTCATGCCTTTAATCCCAGTACTCGGGAGGGTTCCCTTAAGCATTTCCGTTTCTCCAACACGGGAAGGGCCTCCAGGACCCCCCTCCTCTGAAAGGTTATGGAATACTTTAAAGATGCCCCACTTTCCGAAAATATCCTGCATTTTCTGCAGGAGGAAGCCATTTAAACAGGATCCTGGCCAGGCCTTATCTGTGACTTAAATCACAGAGGCATATTAAGTGTGAACTTAAGAATACAAAGGCTTCCCAGCATGGTGGCACGGACCACGTCTCCATACACTGAAGCAGGAGGATCATGAGTTCCCGACCAGCCTGAGCTTTGTGAGACCTTGTCACAAAAAAAAAAAAAAAAAAAAGAGTCATGCGTTCATTCTGTATTCTTCAAACAAAATTTGGTGGTTACAGTTCCAGCCTGTTTTTCCAGTGGGTCTCCTTATATCAGTATCGCTGAGAAACCCAAGTGTGGGAGAACTGAATGGGGCCTTGAAGAATTTGTGTTGGGCTATAGGTGCTTGTTTTGATCTGTTGCTTCTCTTCCAGCTGTGTGCAATCAACAGGTGAAACTGTTTCAGGCATATGTCTTCTAGAACCCCAAACTGGAACCTTTACAATAAACAACAGCACTTTATAACCTGCTCCTGATTTTATATAACAGCTTTATTGAGAGAGAATTCACATACTAGTAAATTTTGCCCTTTTAAAGCTGTGCTGTATTCACAGTGCTGTATGTCCACCCTCAGATCTAATTCCTGAACATTTTATCATACCCCCAAAGAAACCCCATTCCCTCTCTCCCTGCCCAGGCAGCCCCCAGTCTACTGTTTAAAAGATTTGCCTATCCTGGACAGTTCTCATAAATGAAGTCACTCAGTGTATGACCCTTGTGTCCAGAGTCCTCCACTTTGTATGTTTTCACTGTGCTGTTGGTTGTAGCAGATATCAGCACTTCCTTGCTTTATGACAAAGTAACAGTTCATGGGATGGCTGTATCATACTTTGTTCATTTATCAGTTACGAACGGTTGATGCTGCTAAGAACATTCATGTACAGGTTTTCGTGTGTGTTGATGTTTCCGGTCATTTGAATATATATGAAGGGGTGGATTTGCAGGGTCCCGTGGTAACACTTTAACTTTTTGATGAACTGCTTGTATTTTCCATAGAAGCCACACTATTTTCACTCCACCAGTAGTGTATGAGTGCTCCAGTTTCTCCATAACCTCACCAGCACCTGGATTCTTGCTTATAGCCATCCCAGTGGTGTCAAGTCCTATTTCATTGTATTCTTGTCCTGTGTGTGTGTGTGTGTGTGTGTGTGTGTGTGTGTGTGTGTGTGTTTAATGGAAAACTTTGATGTCATTCAGAGCAGAGACCAGAGCCACTTGCCTTTAGGAACAGGACCAGGCTTTGATAATAACCATTTTGGGGTAACCATGACCAGTGAGCCACTTGGAGTTGGGTTTGACTTGGGCACATTTCTGGGCTGGATGATATATGCCAGGTCCTTTCTCTAGGGAAGTTTTCTGAGACCTTTGCAGATCAAGTAAGATTCACAGCATCATTTTTACTTTGTCTGAAATTTCATAGCTCATCCAGTGGCTTACAATAGAATCAAGGTCTAGTTCTAAATCATTGTCTTCAGTGCTAAATAGACCACTCATACTATTTCTAGGATGCACTGGCCCACATCCCACCTTCTCTTCTTGGCTTCTATTCATAGCGCTGGCTGAGTTTTGCATTGCATTGTCTACTTAGTCATGAGCTTCAACCAACTTCCAATCTAAATCATGAGTCTCTTAAGACCCAAACCCAAGAATGTATTAAATTTAAAATGGGGTTATATTTCTGTGCTGGAGAGTTGGTACCTGTTGACACATAGTTGGAAAATGGGTACCAAGTCCACACAACCTCCCTCTGGAGCCCAGCCTCCTCCTGGCCTCCCTTTCTGTTGTCATTGACATTTTGTTACTGTAGATCCATGGTGTCTTCACAGGAGGAAAAACTAATCCATGGCTCACTTCATAGTCTCTGTCATCTGATCTTGTGTACTTTGATGCCATTCCAATAAAGACCAGTCCTATCATCAAGGAGAAGATATCCTCAGGCTTATCCCCAGGTTTCATTGTCAGTAACACTTGCATGCTTGTCAACCACTGTTGGTGTCCAAAATAGACACAAAGCAAGCATCCCATCTACCTACCAGGCCTTGTTTGCCCTTAGGATACCACGGACACACCCTGAATCAGGGCTTGACCCTGAATCTGCACCTGAGAATAAGTCAAAAGGTAAGGGTAGTGAGAATATGGGGCAGTGACGGGTGGCAAGACCCTGGTGACTGTAGACAGATCCTAGAATGCAAACAAACAGTAATGTGAGGAAGTTTAAGCACCCCACTATGGCAGTGCTGGTAGTAGCAGAAGGCTCAGCCCCTACTTAGAGTAACATAAGACACACAGCTCAGTCTAAAGGACCCTGGGTAACTGTGGGAACAATGTTTCAGATAAGCCACATAAAACAAGTGCCGTGAGTCATAGTGTGATGGGGGTCAGTGGAACAGGTCTGGTGAGCCAGTCTCTTACAATTGGCTGTGCCGTAGCCATGATGTAGATGGATACCATACCCTTGCTTGCTAGAGCCTGTCTCCTGAGATGCTTGTTGTAAGTATACAACACATCACAGGTCCCAATCTACAGCTCTGAAGAAAGGCTTTCAAGTCCATGTTTGCAAGGCCCACTTGTGGTTCATAGATCACACAGGTTGGTGAACTGAGAAGGGAAGGGAAGTCTTTCTAGTCAGAGTACCACCAGCAGCGGTATCACTTGGGATCTTGTTAGAGATGAGTCTCAGGCCCCACCCCAGACTTACTGAATGTGAACTTGCCTTTTAACGAGTTCCCCACCTGATCCGTGTGCACAGTGAAGTTTGAGATGTTCAAGGGTCCAGACGGCCCTTTATGGCCACTTTGATGTCAGGCGTGAAGAACCAAGTCAGCCAGTCTCAGCTGATGGCACATACAACCAATACTTTCAACAGCCTTCTGACAAATTTACATTTGTCCCTGTTTGTACCCCCAATATCCACTCCATTCCCTTAATCGTACGGTTCACTCAAGTGTCTCATATATGCCTTTAAATGTGGGTGCCCTTGTGAAATAACATTTAGACCACTGACTGTCTGACAGCCCCATTTTCTAGACCAGACAAAGAGGGTTTGGAAAGTCTGGTATTTTGATCAAGGCCAGGTGTAGGTGTGACCTGAACACTGCCTTTATTGGTGTGGCCTTCATCTGTGAAATGTCAGTTCTACCTGCAGGATTGCTAGAAGGTACCACCAACTGGGTCTAATTAGAGGGAGGTGGCAGGGGGGCATAATGCTTGTCAGCAGCTAATATTACTGAGGTCACATGGGTAGGTTTAAAGTTCTTTTCAGTAGAATGGTACCCACACCTCACATGACCATGGATCCCTAAGCAAACCCACTCCAGAATCTGGAAAAGAGAGTCAAGGTCTGTCTGAGAAGAAGAAATTCTTAATAATGTCAAGGATGGGTCTAAGACTGATCCTGTTTGCTAGGGGTCCCCACTGTACCTGAGAATCCAGGTTAGGAGCATCTGATACCAACCCAGCACAGCCTTCATTCTGTAGGAGGAGACAGACCCAGGAAGCACTTCTGAGGGTCAGCCAGGTGCTCCACTGGATCCTGAGATGGGACTTGGGCTCTGTGCAGGGCCCTCTCTCCTAGGCCAAGTTGCTGCTTACCTTGGCCTTTGGGGGTTGGTAAGATGGAAGCTAGTCTTCATTAAACAAGTGAAAACACAAGTTCAGAGCAGATACATGACAGGGATTTTCCCCCAGGGCCACAGAAATCCCAGCTTCACATCCAAGGTTTCCCTGCTAAACACTGACCAGAACAGTCATGGAGTTCCTGAGGGACAAGAACATACCAGTCCCCTTCCTCCTCCTCCCCTTAGCTAGCTTCTCAGGAAAGCGCCATGCCAATTCAGCACCCTGGTCAGCGCTCTCTGGGCTGCAGAGGCCTGTGGCTTAAGCTAAACTGTTCTCCAAGCCAGAAGACCCAATTCTGGGGACAGGCAGACATCTCTGAGAAAAGGACCTGCCCTTCGTCTTCTTGATCTCTGATACCACTGCCCCTTCAAGCCGCATGGTATCCAATGGGCCTCCCACATTAGGAATTCTCTGGGTAAATTCTCTGGGAGTCCACTGTCAGTACTCCCCTTGGGTTTTCATCTGTTCAGTACTGAACCTCCAAAACCTGGCAGAGCAGCTGCTCAGAGCTCTGTCCAAAAAAGCAATAAGGATGAGTGGGTGGGCACCCTCAGGTGGTCCCTGGCCTGCTGCTCAGCAAGTAACCACCTGGGTGGCTAAGGCCAGGCTTCTTGAGGGCACCCCATCTCTATGAATAATTTAGTAAGCTCAGGGAGGGGAGTGGTACACTCCTGGCCCCAGCAGATGGCATCTTATTGGCTATAGCCTTGTACTCAGCCACAATTCTCAGGCAGATATCTTGGCACATCCTTGTATCCACCAAAGTCCAGCTGTCCAGCTGCTTTTGAAAAACTAAGAACTCTAGTGACCACAAGGCAACAGCTGGCCAGATCCAGAGCAGACACCCCCTTTTAATCCTGTCACCACTACCACAGCACCTACCAGTCCACTGATACCATCTGCCAAGCTCTGCAGACATTTGCACTTGGGGCCCCTGCTTTAATCTCTGATGGAGGGGCTAAGGATCACTGGCCCTAAATATGATTAGCCTGGATGCCATACCTCCCAGGCAGCCACCTTCTTTCCCTGTCTTGTTCCCCTGGGCAGAAGAGCTAGTTAGTTTCACTTGCTACCTTCCCTTAAACCCAAGAGACTAGCTGCCACCACCTTGACCTTGGAGACTCAGAAGCCAAGTAGAAATGGGCTACCAAGTTGCCAGAGTCAGTGCCATGTCCTCTGTCTTCAGTAGAAAGAGAGCCAGGGGGCAGCTGCAGTGTCACCCCTACAGTGCATCTGACATAGAAGATTCTTCCTGCCGGACACCTGCAAGCATAGGGAGCACAGACCCTGTCACCACATGCCATGCCCCCTACCTGTAAAGTCTCGTAGTAGACTGTGCCTGTCCCCCTTCTCCAGATGATGAAGCCCAAGCACCTACTGTGGGCCCCACCCAGCATGCCACTCCTCAGTCTCCTGTGTACCACCTGTCAACCTCACTCATCTGATGCTGAGGCCTCTGAACTCACATTTCTCTCTGCCCAGATTCCCCTTCCATCTTTCCAACTCTTGCCCCACATAGATACTTCCTAGTTAAGATTCCCATTAGACAACCCCTTCCAGGAGAACCTTTCTGACCCCAGACCACCCAGGTCCTCCTCTGCACACCTCCCCACACACTGCATCTTATGTCATAGTAGCAGCCACACCGTCCTGCCCTAGACAGCCTGGGCACAATTCAGCAAGAGCTGTTGAACCCACAGTACATGGAAGGATGCAGTAGATGAGGTGTGGATGAATGAAAGAACATGAATAGCTGACATTTACTGTGCAATTAGGAAGTGCCAAGTCCCATGCTAAGTGCTTTGCAGATATCATCTTAATTTACTGCTGCCACAGCCTTATGGGGAAGGCAATGCTATCAGCAGAACTGCTTTAGAGGGAAGGAAACTTCTACTGGGCACCTGAGCAGCTGTCCCTTACACTCTATCTGATGAACCAGCCTTCAAAGAACCTCAGGACTCTGCCTCCTGTCCCTCTGAGATTCATGTAGGGGCAAAACTCCAGCACTGGGTACCCTGGGAGGAGGAAGGCAGTAATCCTGCCACGCTCTGCACAGTGTAGGTGTCCTGTGCTGTCCATCTGCTTGTGGACAGCCTAGTCCAGGAAGAGGAACAAGGTGGAAAAGAGGATGCACAGGGTCCAAGGACAAGACGCTAGAGTAGGACTGGCCAGGCTCTTGCCATTAACATCTTGGCTCTCATCAAATGAACTGTTTGAAAGCTTGGGGCACCTCTTGGATAAATCCACTTCAAATCCAGTATGTTCCATCTCTGAAGATATCTAACTCCTGGCCAGTAAATGTTAATATACATCCACTAGCAAGGCACTTTCTACCACTCTAATCTGGGCAAGACCTCAGCCAGCTTCTTTCTCCCTGATGAATCTATTTCCTGGGAAAATTAGGGAGAAAACCAACAGGCCCCATGTGAGACATCCCCCTGCCACTGTCAGTACCACTGATACCCCACTTTCCTCCTGGCAGACCCTCACCTCTGGTTTTTTGATGCCTCCCATCCTTTTTCTGCTCTCTTCTTATGTTTTTTAACCCCAGCCCTGGAGAAGGACAGTGGGGTGGTTTCGTTTTTCTCTGAGGCCTGAGAGGTAGTTACTTGCCCAAAAGCCTATAGGAACGGGATGACCAGCAAGACCTGGATGGCCTGGTTCCCAGTCCAGAACCACAGTCCTCTCCCCAAGTGCCAGGATGGGAATCCTCCAGAACTCTCTTCCCTCTCCTAAGAAAGGAAGCAGGAGGGGACACTATGGAAGAAACAAGAGGACTATTGCTGGGAGGCTGGCATCCTGGGAAACAGGGCTGTGGCTGGTAGAGAAGGAAACCATGATCAATCATCCCTGGCTTGGAGCTCTGCTCCCAGAGCACATGTGCTTGGCTCCTGAGGAAGGTCAGATAAGAAAGCTGCAGGGGTGTGGACTGTGTGTGTGTGTGTGTGTGTGTGTGTGTGTGTGTGTATGTGTATGCATGGGTACATGCTTATATATGCAAGGAGAAAGGCATTTGAAAAACAAACCTAGGCAAAATGATGCTATTCCCAAGAAAAGGAGCAGTGGTGGAGTCAGTCAGTGGCCACCCTGGTCTGGGAGACTCACAGGGTGCCAAAATGAGGGAACAAAGGTGGTGACTGAATGGGTTCCAAAGACCTAGGCCTGCATGCTTCAGGTCCTCAGATGGGCCAGGAGAATCAGGAGTCACAGATTCTACCTCACCAAGTATCTCCTGGGTCTAGTTGTCACTGGGCTATGTCATGATAGGGTTGGAAGAAGAGCCCTTCTTCATCAGGGAAACCCCTGGAACTCTTTCACATGAAGCTGAACCAAGGCACAGTAAGAAGGACACTACCTGCAGAGCCTACTGACAAGCCACATCCACGCTTTTGCATGTAGGATCTTCTGGGTCACTAATTCTAACCACAAGACAGGACTCCAGTCAGGACTCCAAGAAGCTGGGCAGGAACCATGTGACTCCAGGACCTTGTATTGGGGACCAGCTGTCCTGGAGGACATAGAAATCTTTTGTTTCACCTATTCATTCATTCAAATAATGAATGATTTGCCAAATGTGTTTTTCATACTGAGAATGCTGTATGAACCAGTTAGCCCACCAAAACAGAGAGGTGGTAACTTGTTCAGAGTCACACAGCCAGTAAATGGCAGAGTCTATATTCAAGCCCAGATCTTACCAACTCTACAACATCTTTTCAGATGGAAATAAGGAAAGCAAGATTTGAGGGCCTAGTAGCTTGTTGGGTAAGAGGCAGTGCTTAGAAGTGAGGCAGGCATGTTCCAGAAACCACAGGGACAACTCTATATCTAAAAAACCCACAAAGTTCTCAGCACGTCACATTCTTTCTTGACTCCTCCCGAAACCTGTTTGTAATCCACCAACTGGGAGATCTCAGCTACAGTCTTGGGGAAATGTTTTTGACATCTTTCAAATCTTCTTAATTCATTGACAAGGTAATGACGGCCTTGACCCATTTACACATGTTTTCTAAAGGAGTTTTCCCATCAGAATGCAAAGCACGTTTCTCTGGCTTGGAGAAAACCTGGGATTTCATCTAGCAGATGTATTTAGCCCTTAAATACAATTCATCACATTTAAACTGATCTGAATGGACAATGTCAGGCACATCCTCTCAACAGGCTTCATATCCCAATACACCTCCCCACTGCCATAAGAATCCATAGGACTTTGGACTGATATTTTATCATCATCATGGATTTGAAAAGCCAGGCCCATCATCGGGGGTGTCCTATTCTACTATAGTTCACCTAGATGGCTCCTGCCACTTTGTCTAGCACTTCCCTCCTCCGGCCAGGAGAAACACAAACCTAAGAAGCCCTGGGCTTGGTATCTTTCACTGTCTTAGGCTTTGTTCTTTTTAAGCCACACCCTTCTAGCACTGCCAAACCCAAGCCCACGATCTTTGTCCTTTACGACCCTCCCCCAGCCCACTGCTCTGTGCAAAAACTGCTAGCAGGAGCAGACATTTGATCTGTCTCAGCTGTAATAATACACTGCCTAGATGTAATACACTGCCTAGATGTTCAAGCTGCTAGACTGAAGGCTCATGTTTCAGGTGGAGCATCTCCAACCTCCAGACCTTGTGCCACCCCATATTCCAACCCCCTCCCCCAAACACCTAGGATCATCAGCTTGTTTGGCTAGCTGAGATGGAGGAAGAGAGCCATGCCTGGAGTGGGCTCATGGAAACGATCTCTTTAGAGCTTTCCCCATGGCCTAGACAGCATGTGCTCTAGAAGCCTTCTGGGTCCATCTGGACTGGATGGTGTGTCTCTGAGATGCCTACCTGCATTTCCTTGCCCCCTAGTGCCCACTCCCCTTGTCAGAAGTTTAAAGACTTTGGAAGTGGTGTGGAAATAGTCCACGAGATAAAGAACACAAATGCCTATCCAGGCCACCTGAATGTACCCAGTTTCTTCCCAAATGATTTGTGACTACACTTTACAACTAAGAAGGGAAGCCGGACATTACAAATTCAGCATTAAAGAAAATTTCTTTCTGTTACTAGAATGAAGTCAGGCCCAAGTAGAAGTAACAGCCTGTTGAGGGAAGGTGATAAGGCTCCAGCATGCCCACAGACATTTAACCGAGTCCTCACCTCCCTTCCTTGGTGCCCAGGGAATTCGTGAAGACTGTGCACCTGGCTTTGTAAATGTGCCATTGTAGAAAATTAGCCACCTTAAGAAATCAGTCCCAAAGACCAAAGTCAGGCTGTGTCAAACTTTGGATTTAACCAAATGTGGTCAAGGGGCTCTTTAGCAGGACTAAGAGAGCAACTGCCTCCTGACAGTGGCAGTCACCAAGCCTGGGCCAGAAGGTGGCAATGAGGATGGTGAGTTCCTGGTTGTCACCCTCATATCTTAAAGGGTGTCCAGAGGCAGACTGGGTTCCTATTTCCAGGGCATATGTGGCCCAATGGGTCATCCAGTCCTACCCCTCACCATAGAGACTGAGTGACTGAGGAGAGAGGGGAGGGTGGTGGTTCAGTCAGTGGGGTGCTACAGTGGATTCACCTCAGAATTGACTTCTCCCACCATCATGAAACCACCTCCCACCCTGGATGGTCAAGGCTGAAAGGTACCCCTACAAGGTCACCCAACACTCTCACTTGGCTGATGAGGATAGTGGAAGTACCAGAATTCTCCAAGGCATGAAGAACAGAGGCAACTTTTCAAATGACTCCCAACCCTCAGAAATGCCGAGTAACCTCATCCTCCAAGGGCAGTGGTTTCCAAACTGTATTTTTAGCAGCAGAAACCATCTTTCAAACAAAACCTTATGTAAAAACTTCAAGCTGCAAAACAGATCAATGGTGCTTGCCTGAATGGGACCTAGACCGGGCCCCAAGTTGCCCCCCAGCACCAAGACTCCCTCCACATGGCCCCCTGTGGAGCTCACTTTGAAGCCCCAGGCCTTTGGGAGCCTTCAAGCCCTGCAGCTAAAACAGCCAGATAGAGTGGACTCTTACTTAGGAGCCCTGAGTGGTGTGGCTGGTCTCTGAGACTTGAACAACCTCATTCTCCACCAGGACTTGGCCTCCATCCCCAGCGAGCTGCCTCATACGCAAGTTGATGGAACCATAGGTCTTCCTGGAGCTCCTGCCGGGGACAAAGGTCTGCCTGCGGTATAGCTCACCCTTGCACAGAGAGACCATGAGCAGCACAGACAAGAGCATGCCACCCACTGTGAGCAGCCCCAGGCCTGCAATGATGCACTTGTCCAGATGTGAGCCCAGATGGGCATAGTACATCTCTAGGCGTTCCATCTCCCTCGCTGTCACTGTGTCCGGATTGACTCGGGCCTCTCGAGGGATGGCATATGCTGTCACCACCAGAAGGATCCCACTCACCAGAAACACCAGAGCAGAAACAAAGCCATAATCCACTGGGCGGCTCACAGGCTCCAGGCCTGGCCCCTCCTCTGATCTCAGGGACAGATCATCCCGCTGGGACCGGGGCAGTGAGGGGACACCCCCAGGAGGACTGGGGGAGCTACCCAGTCTTGTATCCCCAAGGTTCTGGAAACGAGTCTCATGCTCCTCAGAGAAAAAGCAGGCATTCTCCACACCCATCCTGGGTGGCACCACTGGGGCCATTGGGGCTGGTCCCCTTGGGACCTGGGGACCATTGCTCAGTGTCTTCAGTTCCAAACCAGATGCCATTGGGAAGGAGGACCCCAGATCATCCCTTGGCAGCTGAAAGAGAAAACAGAAATTCAGTTGAATTTGCCCACTGGAGTTCAACAACACACTTGTCCCTAGCACAGCTGCACCCTGGGGGAGCTAGCCTCACAAGAGGCACATGGAGAGTAGAACAACAGCAGTGTGATGCAGCCCACGCTGGGGTCCCACTCCACACTGGCTGATGCACTTATTCTCTCTAGGCCTCAGTTTTTCCATCTACAGTACTGATGGAGAGAAGAGCCCCTAGTGAGTATTAGTGATGGGATATTATGAGTACAGAGGAATTTAGAGTGGTCATGAGGTCCAAATTCCAGGCTCACCACTTGAGGTTAGGCAAGAGATAGAGCTCCTACAGGTGCACTGTTCTCACCTGTAAGATGGGAAGAAGAGAAATGCCTCCCTCATAAGGTTCTGTAAGGATTTCATCAAATAATGCTCACCAGGCTGTGGCCATTTCTAGCAGGCGGTGATATATGAGGTGAGGATGATGGCACAGACAGCTGGGTGTTATAGGAACAAGGAGGTGAAAGCTTATGGAAGCTTATGTGGGGCGGGCAGGGGGGGGGATGATAGCATTTGCAAACTGTCAAAAAGAAAGAATGGAACATTTTCCAGCAGGGAAAGGATGCGAACCTTCTAGAAGGGGAAGGGGAGCCCCAAACAGTTGGGGCAGATTCACAGAGGACTCTGAAAGCCAGGCCAAAGAGCAATACACAGCCAAGTTGTTGGAGCAGGAAGGGCTGGAACAGTGTGGGTTTCAAAAAGCATAAGGCCAGATGCATGGAGGACAGGGCCAGGGAGGAAGCCAAGGAATAAGTATGGCCAGACAGAGAGAGGTAGAGACTAGAAGCCATGACTAATGTCAAAGCCAAATGCCTTTGTGTAGGCAATTGGGGGGGCAGGGGTGGCAAGTCAAGAGAGGACATTTCACCAAGTACCTGTGCCACTCAGACTCACTGCACATGTGCACTTCTGTCCAAGGCCACTGATCTATAGTCATGAGTCAGACTGGGTTCAGTGGAGTTCTGCTGACTCCGTTTCCAGTTTTCTTGTTTGGTTTTGGTGAGTTAGTTGCCAACATATAAAAACCCAAATAGTTCACCTTTTAAGTTTTGGGTTCCTAACTTCTTTTGCAAAATAAGACTGTCAGGTCCACCATCCCCCTCACAGCACTCCCTTGGCATTGATAACTGGGTCTTCCTTTAGGCAGATCTAGCCTCTTCCCTACAGGTCCCCCCTGGCATGTGCCATTTCCCATCCCACAACAGAACCACCCTGTCCTGATGTACTGAGAGTACATATACCCATGGCCCCCAGCACACAAATGCCCAGGCAGCAGAGAGCCCCTAGGAGTAGAGTGGCTGTCATGCTCTGATGTGTTTACACACATACGGAGTCCCTGCATCCCGTTCTCCAGTGCTCTGTTGTTCCTGTGTTTCTGTGAAAAAAAAAAAAAATGAGCAAATGAATGAAGCAAGGATGAATGAGATGAATAAATGAATGAAACTCCAAGAAGCTAAATGCAGTCTTTCTGACTCCAACGTGGATGAACATCAGACATGTTCTCTTAGCAAACAGCCTTTCATCTCAGTTCAAAGGCTGTTTCTGCTTACAACCCTTTCTATCCCGTGGCCTCTTCTAGAGTATCCATTAATGCAGGTTCACTGAGCTTCCACTGCCTGTTATACTCTCCCCTCAGCACCTCACTCAGAAGTAACTCAGCTCCATCACCAGGAGCTACTATCACCATTTTAGAAAACATGACCCAGGTCCCATGGCATGTACAGAGACCAGAGGCCAGAAGCTGAATGTGGTACCATAAGAATCATTATGCCCTATAGACTTGCTAATCCCCACTCCAGCCCTCCTTGGCTCTTCCAGCCTTCACTCCAGATAGCAAGTATAGGCAAAGACCCCTCTGAATCACGAGCCCCAGGCCCAGTCTACTTTTAGTTCCCAGAGGATGGTCAGAAAGGAGGAGAGTGCTAGTTGACTTTTTACTCTTAGCACTAAAGGTGGCTCAGAGTGTGCACCACTTGAGTACACAAAGATGGCCCCCACCCACCAGGCCCTCAGCAGCCTGAAAAACTCAGGAGTGGCTCAGGAACCCCTTCCCCAGATGAACACATCAGTGCCTCCCAACCCAGCCGTAATCTGGGGCCCCCAAATTCTTAGAGCAAGGTTCTTTTTACCCAACAGGAAGCCAAACTTTTTCCTTAGGATGCCTGGGTGAAGGAGCAGAGAAAATGAGGCTCCCTCCTTTTCTAGTTTTAGAATGTGTTTCTCTCATAAGAGATGCCTACTCAAGGGCATGCCAATTACTTACCCAAACATAAGTGGAGCCACAAACACACAGATGTTGGTGCCCGCAGATCACACCCCACAACCGCAACCACATACCAGTTACTTCCATTGCATCTGCAGTCCTATAGTTTCTGAAAGGCACACCCCACCCCCAGTTCCACACTTACTCCCCAGGGACTGCCCCCACAGCAGTACTCCAACACATGGGAGCCAGCAGTGTGACCCATAGATCCACTGGCCACTCTGGTGGTACCCACAAGAGGGTAGAACTGGGGGAGAGAAGGGGAGAGACAGGGAGGAGGGGATATAGAATACCTCTGGTACCCCTAGCACTGTTGAGACCCAAGCTAGATCCACCCAGACCCCCCGGAGAGTCCAGCACCCCTAGCCATGGTGCACACTGACACCCAAGAGATCGACACTACGAGGATGGGTGAAGCCTCCTCGCAAATATGATCGATAGGCACACGCACTAGTAGTACACAAAGCCTCGGGAGCGCAGATGCACACACGCAGGTCCACGCTGTTATACCCAAAGTTCCGCGCAGAAAGCCCAGCTCCTGGGCCTCCCACCTCCCCGACCCCTGCCAGCCGCAGTTCACACTCCCCTGCTCCTGCCCTTGACCATCCACGCCACGGGCCAGAGCAGGCCCGACCCGCGGGGCAGCGCGAGCAGCAGGGCGGCACAGGGAGGCTGGGCTCCGCTGGGGCCGGGCGCCTGGGTCCCCTGGTCGCGTGTCCTTCGGCGGGCCGCGAGGTCGGGCAAGCTGTCCTTCGCCGCCACTCCCCGCCTAGGCCCTGCGGCTGGCGGTCGGCGTGCGAACCTGAGCCGGGCCTCCCGCGTCTCCCTTAGCAGGAGTAGAGGGCGCCGGCGGCCGAGTGTGTGTGTTCCTCGGCGCCCGCCAGGCTCTAGGCTGCGATGCGGGCCGGACAGCCACCTCGCCCTCCCGGGCTCCCGCCCCCTTCCCGGCCCGCCCGAAGCCGCCGCCAGGGCGCACGTACCTGCTCGCGCCGCGCCGGCTACACCGCGGCGGCTGCGGCCGCTGGGGGGCTCCCGAGGAGGGAGGGACCCGCAGGGGCGGGAGCCGGGATCCTGGAGCGCCGCCGATCGAGCTCCGCCCGCGGCCGGTGAGGGCGCCCGGAGAGTTAGCTCTGGGCGGGAGGCGGGCACGCGGAGAGCCGGCGCCCAGCCCTCGTGGGTCCCTGGGGCACCTCGGTCTAACCGGCGCTGGCCCAGGAACCGAGGCTGGGAGCCCGGCTCAAGGGCGGGTTGGGGGAGGGGAAGGGGATGGGACCTCTCCTCCGCCTCTGGGGAGTCCCCACTGCGCCATGCCGGGATGCCTCCCCCACCCACGGAGGACTCAGGGTCCCCACGGACGCATGGGGTTAGATGGCTCAAGGGCGCCACGTGAAGGCTGAAAGGAAACCTCTACCCGACTCCGCCCCCAACCTCTTTCTGAGGGGTGACCTCCTGGGGTATTGTCCACACAATGCACACCTTACAGGGTCATCTACAGGCCCTCTTCTGCTGGGAAACCTGTCCTCTTCCTCATATGACTCTCTTCACCCAGGAGTCCCTCCATCTAGGCTCTCCTTTGACCTGCATCACTACCCTATCTTCGACCTGTATGTGCGATCTTTTTAAGAAATTTCATCAGACAAGTCCCTCTTGGGGACCCAGGCAAAGACCACAGGGAAGTTAGGGTTTCTGGGAAGACTTGGACCACCTTCAAGAGGTCGTTTAATCTCTCTGAATTTCGGTGTCCATCTTTGTCCAGGGGAATCATAACTGCAGACTGAGGGCTCTGTGTGAGCAGAGACAGGCCATCTGGAAGGTAGGGCAGGCCAAGATGCCTTGTTCTGGCACCTCAGTCCCCTCACTGGCGGTCTCATGGGTCCTCCTCACCCACCTTTAGAACAGAAGCTGTTTTGGAAGCCTTATGGGTCAACATAGCTAGGCCCTGTGCTTAGCCAGGAAAAGGCCTGTCTCCCACATCCTTTCAGAAGCTTGAACTGTTAAGAGTCTCTACAGGGAAGTACAGTCCCAGCTCCATGGCTCACAGGTGTAAGACCTTGTACAGAGGCCCCTGGTGATTGAAGCTCAGTTTCCTCATTTGTGAATGGACTTGGAAAGGGTTATGGGAATTCCATGAGATCCCCCACTAGAGTGCGCACATTTCCTTCCCTGTCTTGTAGTCCTGCCTGGCAGCCATGCCCTGGCTGCTCTTTGACCTGACATCCTCAGTGGTCACCTCCTGCCCCCGCTTCCCTCAAGTCTTTACTCACATGTCACTTTCTCAGAGACACCTTCCACACCATCCCTTTAAAAAGAGCAGTGTCCCAGAACGCTGTACTTCTTCATTTGAAATTTATCTCTACAGCATTTACAACACCTGACAGTTTATTTCTCTGCTCATGGTTGTTTCCTCCTCTAAGTGCCAAGAGTGTAGGTGAGACTTGGCCTGTTTTCTTTCCTGGTGTATCCCCAGAGGCTAGAAAAGGAGCCAACACCTAGGAACCTCTTGATAAATGTTCTTCGAATAAAGAGTCAAAAATGCACAACTATTTATTGAGCACCTATTATAGACTAGCAAAGTAGGTAGTCTTCCCCACCCTTAAAAAATTCCTGTACTTCATTTTTCCAGAGAGAGAAAGGGTAAGTACATGTGATTCTCAGCTGTAGTAAGTGCTACCAAACCAAGGTACAGTGCTGTGCATGTCTCAGACAGGGTGCTGACCAAGTCTTGGAGATAGGATGGCTTTCCTGAAGAAGTGAGGATTGAGCCAAGATGGGCAGGGTGCATAGACAGTAGCTGGATAAAGAGAGCATGGCAGAGATCCAGCATAGGACTACTAGCATGTAGTGGCCCTGGGTGGAAGGGAGTATGCTGTGAATGACGACGAAGGAATATTGCCACTGTGGGAGGCTGAGTTAGGAACTTGGTAGGAGCTGGGGCTGTGCTGGTCAGCAGCTAAGTCTCTGCAGAGCTTTGCAGGCCAAGCAGTTTGTTCTTTGTCCTCAGAACAGTAAGGAGCCACGGGTAGCAAGTTAACCAACCCCCTTTCCCTTCTTACATGTGAATTTGAGTTTTGATTACTTGTCAAGCTCAGTTACTTGGAAGTAGATAAATATATGCCAAGCTACTAAGCAACATTGTTGAGGTAAAAATGAGGAAGTTAGAACAATCCCTGTAACAATGATTAGAACTGAAGATATCAGTATGAACTCATGTTTAGCTTAATATAGATGCAGATGATTACATGTAGAAATATTTATAGAAGTGCACATATGCATGGGTTCACACATACATATGTATTTCTTTACTACAAGCAATTGTACACCATAGCAAAGAGATCTAGGTTTCTGATATATTTATTGTGTGTCTGTGTGTGCACATGCACACGCATGTGTGTGTGTGTGTGTGTGTGTGTGTGTGTGTGTGTGTGTACATGTGCCACAGATCAGAAGACAACCTATGGGAGTCAGTTTTCTCCTTCCACCATGTGGGTCCCCAGGATCAAACTCAGAGACATCTCGCCAGCCCTAAGATCCTGATTTCTAAAACAGTGCCCAATGAAAGGAACTAGGCTCCTTGGAGCAATGGGGCAGAAGATATACAAGATGAACCAGAAAATAAGGAAATAACACACATACACACATGCACGCACACACACACGCACACACACGTGATGAGAGTATGTCAGAAAACACAGGTCAGTTTAAAGAACGTCCAGCCAAAGCTGGAAAAAATTGAGCAACAAAATAATATAGTAATATTGAATTGTAACCCTAAGTATGAAATAAATATTCTTAAGTCCTGCTGATCTGAATAGCTGAAGGAGTTAATAAAGAGATAAATCACTGCACAAAATTCTAGCTATGTGACTTCCTGGTCCTCAAGGCAGGGAAACAACACCCATCTTGAGGTGAGGCCCAGTGTGGAACGAGGAGACTGTGTACTTGAGAAACCTGATGCACTTACCTAAGTGCAGCTGATCAAAGTCCATACCTTGATTTGACAGCAATCAAATCATGTGCTGGTGTGTGCCCTTGATATGAGGTAAGAAAGAGGCACTTTAGCTGGACATGGTAGTGTGCTCCTGTAGTCCCAGTACTCAGAAAGTTAATACAGAAGGATTCCTGTGAGTTCAAGGCCTGCCTGGGCTGGATAGATTCATATTCTCTCTCTCTCTCTCTCTCTCTCTCTCTCTCTCTCTCTCTCTCCCCAAAAAAAGAAAAAAAAAACATTGACCCCTTGTGCTGGATAGTTTTAGTGTCAACTTGACATACCTGAGTTGAGGGAGTCTCAATTGGGGAATTGCCTCTACTGGACTGGCCTGTGGCCATGTCTGAGGGGCATCTTCCTGAGTGATGTGGGAGGGCCCAGCCCACTGTGGGTGGTGCCACCCCTGGGCAGGTAGGTCTGTGTTGCATGAGAAAGCAGGCTGAGCAGGGGCCAGGGGAGCAAGCCAGTAAGCAGCGTTCTTCCATGGCCTGTGCTCCAGCTCCAGCTTCCAGGTTCCTGCTCTGAGTTCCTAGCTTGGGCTCCCTGATGAACTACGACCTGGGAGATGTAAGCTAAATAAACCCTTTCCTCCCCAAGTTGGTAGTGGTCAGAGTGTTTTGTCACAGCAATGAAGAAACAAACTAGGACACCCCTTTACCTCTGTGGCCTCACAACCCACAACCCCAGTCCAATCATGAGATAAAGATGACAAAAATCCCTATGCCCCAACTAGGGAGCAGGCTGTGAAATACCTGACCAGTTCCCCTCAAAACTGTGCAAGTCACCAAAAACAAGGACAGTCTGAGATACCATCACCACTGAGAGGTGCCAATGAAGACATGTAGTAACCACATGCAGGGAGGTGTCTGCTGGCACCTGGAATAGAAAACAGCATCAAAAGCGTCAGATCAGAGCAAAGCATGGACTTTAGCTAATGACGATGCCTCAGTGTTGATTACTTATTTGAAACAAATCCACAAACCTAATGGAGGATGTTAATAAGGGACACAGGGGGTGAAATGAGGATTCTCTTTACCATCTTCCTTTTGTTTTTTTGTTGGTTTATTTGTAAATCTAAATCTATTCTAAAAAAAATTAAGTTGTTGGACTGCAGAGATGGCTCAGCTGTTAAGAGGAGAGAGAGAGATAGAGAGAGAGCCCAGAGATGAAGTAAGAACATTGCATTTCTCTGATGTTTATTCTGTTCGATGGGTGCTCCCTAGCCCTTTCCCTATGCCAGGCATGTATTCACAACAATCAACTCACTTCACTGGGATCATCTTCTCACATAGATACTGTTACGAGCCCCATTTCAAGGAAGTAGAGATACAGAATAGTTAATAACTCTGTCCAAAAACACAAGACTGGATGTGATGACTAACGCCAGCAATCCCAGTCCTTGGGCAGCAGAAGATTGCTGTGAGTTTAAAGCCAGACTGAGCTATATAATAAGACCCTGTTCTAAGAACAAAACAAAAAACAAAAAACCACCACCAAACACCAAACCAAATACCCAGATCTCTGCTCAGTGTTCTGAATGACAATTCCAGATTTCACAGTAATTTTCAAAACATTTACAAAATTCTTGAGAAGTTGTTAATATTAACCTCATTCTCATATTTAGAATAGTCAAGAGCCCAGGAAAGAAGAGAGTTATGGTCAGGTAGGGTAACAGAAGTCCAATCAGACTGAAGGACATATGACTTCTAAGTTGACTCAGAGGCCCAGAGCTGATCTGAGGTGCCGACCTGAGGTGCTGTATCCAACCATGCTCCACCTGATTGGTTCACACCTGTTTCAGGATCTGGTGACTGGGTTTGATTACCTGCTTTGTGTTCACCCCATCCATCACCAGCCTTCTTCCTACTTTTCCTGGGGCTTTAAATGCTCTGATGGAGTAGCCCTGATGTCACAGCCATGGATGTGGTCTAGGTTTGGACATGAATCAGAGGCCACACTCCAGGCCCTGAGGGAAACCCCCCCACACACACACACAGCTAGCCCTGCTGGGATTCCTTCTCTTTCCCTTGATCAAGCTGATGCTCCTGGTGCTGGGGAACAAAAACCTGTTTAGTATGTTCTCTCTGCTGTGGAAAGAGAAAGGAGGTGGCAGGGGAAAGAAGGAAACAGATCCGCATCCCTAACCTCTGTGAGAGCAAGTAGCTCCATCAGGAAGTTCCTCATCCACATGCCAGCACAGACTGAGGTACCAGAGGCACTGGATTAACTAGACTTCAAGCCACTCCCTTGGGGCTTAGATCAATCAGGCTGCTGGCCTCAATTCAGCCAAGGCTCACTGAGGCCACAGCTGCCCTGCTCTCTGCCCACTTGCTTTCCAGGGTCTCCACCAC